GCAATTTACTTAGAATACTTAGTTGACATTCATAAAAAGTATCTAATGAATTATGTGTTAAATCTATCCTCTTTAGCAGAAAGACAGATATTCCTTGCTCATTATTAGACAATCACTTATTCATAAACTTTGTATGGGAAAAATCATTTTCATGGGAAACACTTCTCACTATGCTTAGCCTTACCCATCCTCTAGGGGTGTTTTAGTGATACGTTCTATACTTCCTTCCTATCCTATCTATTTTCATGACCCAAAACCAACTCATTGTGATGGCGCCTATCATAGTACTAGGTAACCGACTACACAGACATTTCCAACACTCTAAAGCTTTAAAAGACATGGAAACAGTTCAATTTAAGGAAAACCTTTTAAAACAGAATAGGAAATAATAACTCAATACAAAATTCTCCCAAAACCTGGGCGTCAACGAGTACATGAGCATCTATATAAATATATAGTCTAGTACACCGTCTAGAAAACAAAACTGAAACATAAAATGAAAGATACAGGAGAAGAGTCAAGGTATGTGAATGCCAAGCAACTGCCGTGACCGGAAGCACCTGGATCTGCACGTGAGGTGTAGGGTGTAGCGTAAGTACAACCAACTCAATAAGTAACAAATATAACCTTTGGATTGAAAGTAGTTACAAATTCAGCAGGTACCGTTAAATATAGAAATAACAGTATAGAAATGTGGGCATGCTTTCAAGTTCAACAATTAAACTCAGTACAAGCAAGAGAGATCAATTTGAATGATATGAGGAATATAACCTCTCTATAAGTACATGCCAATGCACATGTTGTATGTGATGCACCATGTTGAAAGCCTCGTGTACTCGCGCTCTCATAATACTCAATCACTCAGTATTATATATGGCCAATCCAGCCCAAGAAAGATCTATCCTAGATATATATACATCAACTGACAGTCAGTCACTCAGTACTGTATAAGGCCAATGTAGCCCAGGGGAGGATCCATCCTCGAATTAAAATGATTCGGGAAAGATCCATGTGCAAGGAAGATCCATCCCGCAATATAAATCAACTACGCTCATTGGGGGTGTGTACAGACTCCTGAGGGGCTCCTTCAGCCCAAGCGTTATAATAAGCCAGATCCAGACATAAATCAATAAAACAAGCGCGGCGTGCAGCCCGATACCATAAATATCACTCACAATCAGGCGCTCGGCCTCACTCAGTCATCAATCTCTCTAGTCTTTCGGGCTCACAATGTCATGAAACTATCCAAAAATGATGATATGATGTATCAATAAATCACAACAAAGACGGAGATATGATATGCACTGAATAAATATGACTGAGTATGAAATTTCAATTTAATCAATAAGTCAACAACAAAGAACGGCCACCATGGGTCCCAACAGTACCAGCATATAGCCTGAACATGATTTCTAGCATGATTGGCAGCTCAATTACTTTATCACATGATGAAAACACGGGTAACAACAATATAAATCAGCTATATAGTTCCATGGAACTGACCAAGTGCCAGTTCTTACCGTGCCTGCCCGCACGCCCATCACTTAGAATGTGTGTCACATCAACACCAATCATATAATATATAATTCGGGGTTTCGTACCCTCAGGGCCAAGTTTAGAAGTGTTACTTACCTCAGACCATGCAAATCTCTACTCCAACACGCCCTTGCCTCGCGAAACGGCTTCCAAATGCCTTGAAACTAGTCACAAATAATTTGATACAATCAACTCGAGCTAAAGGAATTAATTCTATAAGAAAATACTAAGCTCTTAATCAAAAGTCAAAAAGGAAACTCAAAGGTTGGCCCCCGAGCCACGTCTCGGAATCTAGTAAAAGTCACAAAATTCGAATACCCATTTAACCACGAGTCCAACCATACCATAATTACTCAATTCCGATACCNACTTTCCTCCATTTTCCCCCAATATTTCACCCCAAATCACTAATTTAATGATGAAATGAAAGGCATAAACATAGAAATTAACTAAAACTAGGTAAGAATCACTTACCCCAATCGCCTGCATGAAAATCTCTCCAAGAATCGCCTCCCACAGAGCTCCCAAAATTAATTTTGTATTATGAACTCAAACACTCGTTTTTGAAATATTCATGTTTTGCCCAGTGATCCTTAATCGCGATCGCGGAAATATCCACGCGATCGCGAAGCACAACTCAGTTACCTAGTAAATCCAAGTCTATGCAAACGCATAAGTACTCACGCGAACACGAAACATTGCTTCCCTAAACCTATGCGATCGCATCCTCCTCACGCGACCGCGAAGAGCAAATTCCTGAGAACCAGTTGCCTCTTCACCTCTTCGCGAATGCGGCAATGCCCGCGCGTTGGTGATGCACTTCTTAGACAAACCTACGCGAGTGCGTACCATAACTCGCGAACGCATAGGTCAAAAATCACCACTGCCCCAATAAGTCTACGCGATCGTGGACCTGTCCACATGATCACGTATAAGGAAAGCAGATGCAGACACCAAAAAATCTTTAGCCACAACACCAAGTCAAAAATCGATTCATTAACCATCTGAAACTCACCCGAGGCACCCGAGACCTTAACCAAACATACCATCAAGTCCCAAAATATCATATGAACTTAGTCGAGCCCTCAAATCATATCAAACAACGCCAAAATCACAAATTGCACATAGATTCAAGCCTAATGAACTTTGAACTTCTATTTTCCACATTTGATGCCGAAACCAATCAAGTCACGTCCGATTGACCCAAAAATTTTCATATAAGTCACAAATAATACTACGGACCTACTCCAACTCTTGGAACCCCAATCCGAGCCAAGTAGCCGCAAAGTCCACTCTCGGTCAAACTTCCAATTTTTAAACTTTCGTCATTTCAAGCCTAATTCCACTACGGACCTCCAGATCATAATCCAAACAGGCTCCTAAGTATAAAATCACCCAACAGAGCTAACAGAACCATCAAAACTCCATTGCGAAGTCCTTCACTCATAAGTCAACATCCGGTCAATCATTTCAACTTAAGCTTTTAACTTTGAGACTAAGTGTCTCAATATATTCCAAAATCTCTCCGCACCCGAACCAACTACCCCCGGAAAGTCACATAACAACTGTATGGCACAAAATGAGCAGTAAATGGGGGAACGGGCCCACATCTCTCAAACCTACCGGTCGGGTCGTTACATTTATCTATAAGAGTGGCTTGATTCGCGCCCATCTTTAATAGGACTAGACTAAGTTTGGGCAGATCTTCGTCCAATTTCCCGAATGCATCACATTGAGAATTGACTCATCGGATATTTTAGTCTATTCCAAAAAGAATGTCACACTTTTAAATTTAAAAATAATAATCTTTATGCTTCTATTTTTACCTTTAGTAATAAGTTATTATAACCATACAAACGTTATATCATCTTTAAGTTTCAAAAGTTTTACAGTCACACAAATGCTTTGACATATTTAAAATCACAAATTTTAAATATTTTTATTTCTTTTTTTAACTCCGTGTTGATTCAAACTATGCCATATAAATTAAAATGGAGAAAGCAGTTAATACTATATGCAAATTCTACTAAAGACAATTGTTTATCCTTTAGTAAGAAGTTATTATAACCATACAGACGTTATATCATCTTTAAGTTTCAAAAAATTTACAGCCACACAAATGCTTTGACATATTTAATATCACAAATTTTAAATATTTTTATTTGTTTTTCTAACTCCGTGTTGATTCAAACTATGCCACATAAATTAAAATGGAGAAAGCAGTTATTACTATATGCAAATTCTACTAAAGACAATTGTTTATCCCAATAACCTCAAAGTCAAATTTACAAATACTCAACATGTCTTCGAGGATCTGAATAGTCCACTTGTTGACCATCTTTCAAGGATGGAGAGTTGTGCTAAGCTCAACCTGATTACTCATAGTCTTTTAGACTGACAGGCAAAATGAGTTGTAAGTTCCTCTATCAAATATAGAAAAGTCATAGTTATATGATTATGAATGGTAAAAAATGAAAATATTACCCTATTGGCCTACATATTGCTTTAGGAGTCTAAACTGGTAATGTGATTACCAAATTTATCATATTAGCCTTACATGATTACCTTAAATGCTTAATTAAGAAAATAATTAGCAAATTGATTTGAGAAAAGAAAACGAAATAAATTTAATTGTTTTCTGTTCTCTCCACAATAATATTTGAAATATCACTTAAAAGTATCGGCAAATTTGGTGCACCAGCTAGATATTAATCATAATATACCAGAGGTATATGCGTTTAGCATATTGGAAAATATTTTTCACGTGAACCATATTGTTTTTTTGGTGTTCGGTTAACTTAAATTGTGAAATGGGAAAAATATTTTTAATCAAATAGGCGATAATGGCATCTCTCAATGCTATGTCGTTACCTTAATTAAAAAATATTATGACCAATATGCAATATTCATAGATATTCCTACATCTTGTGCGATTACTACATATCTAAAACTTTTTTAAAAAGATAAATTCTAAAACATGATCCAAAAATATTTTCTAAGTATATAAGTAACATTTTTCATAGGACTTACTTTACATGGAATACATTTTCTACCAAATGCACCCGTTTCACAAGTTAATCATATGATCTTCCTATAACTCCAATAACATATACAAGGAGTATGACTTTTCAAATTTCAATTTGAATTTCAGTGATTTACGAATTTTTAAAACAATTTCTTTAGAATCAGCTCATTTTAGATTTTACCAATTTAAAGTAAAGCAATTTCCTTAAAATCATATTACTTTTAATCAGTTTATTTAAAATTTTACCAAATTAAAGTAAAGCAAATTCTTTAAAATCAGCTCACATTTAATAGTTTACTTTAAATTTCCAAATTAGCTCAATCAACATAAAATTTTCTAATTTGACTACATTAACAATTCTTGTTAGCCATCTATAAAAGCCACACACCTTCATAAGTTGGTACTCAATCATATACTCTACTCCAAAAGTAAGGGTTATTTTAGGTTTGGGTGTCAAATATGGCTAGAAAGAAGCTTAGGCATACTAGAATCTGTAGTGAAAGTGTGAGAAACTCCATCCTTAAAAAAAGAGCAGCAAGTTTGTTTAAGAAAGCAGAAGAGTTTTCTATTTTATGTGATGTAGAAGTTGCTATAATTATTTTTAGTGAAGGAGAAATTCAACCTATTGCTTATCCATCTATAGGTCAGGCTAAGGAAATATTAATGAGGTATTTAAGTTTTTCTGAGGCTGAGAGGCTTAAGAAGTTAGTTAAACATGAAACATATCTTTTAGAAAAAGTTAATGAGCAAGAAGAAAAAATTAGCAAAGTTGAGAAAATGAATGAGGGGAAGGAAATGGATATCCTCTTCAATCAACTTGTGGAGGGGAAGAATATTAATGAACTTGATGCTAGACAACTTAAAGGTCTCTTAAAGTTGTCTGCTGCTAAGATGGATAAACTTAATGAAAGAAAGAAACAAGTCATTCAACCGTCTGAATGTCCATATCGTCCCTCTGATTTCAAGCCCGTGAGCGAAAATGTTGCTAATCAAACTATTGATTTGCAAGATGTCTCCCCAGCAACAAGTTTAATGGAAGATTTGATTAATGATCCGTGGTTTGTTGAGAATATGGCTGCTAACCAAAATGAGTTTGGTACAGATGAGTTTGGCACAGAGCCTGCACCAGAGGAAGGCAATGACAACAATGCTGGAGATGATGGAAATCCTAAGGACCTCAATTGATATAATGTAATACTTATGTTGCTCAATCATTGTTTTTTCATGTTGCTTTTTTCATAGTGGTTGTCTTAATCTGTTGCAATTTTCTATTCATTCATGTTATTTTAGAAGTAAGCTTTCATATAGCCGATCTCAATTTGTTTGGGATTGAGGAACAATTATTATTGTTGTCATGTTATTGTCCTTTTTATTTCAATTATATATGAAGATTATTCCGTTTTGTTGAAAAATTAAACTAATGTTGTTCAGTCAATCATGTTATTTGTGTAAAACTTTGGAATATGTTGAATCTTTATTTCTAGTCATTTTTTTGCCTTCAATTAGAAACTTATTTTATTTGACACAAAAGGTACTCCATGTTTAATGTTAAAATCTAAAAGAATGATACCGATTTATATGTACATTAAGTTATATGTGAAACGAATAGAGAAATAGTTGTCTGGTTTTATAAGGTAAATTGTTCATTGTAAATCTTTAATAAAGTCGATACAATTCAACAGAATCTAAGAATTGATTTGCTTCATTTCGTATAGTGATAACTCTTTTTCTTTCTTAGCGCTTCACACCCTTTGTATATAAGGAGCAACTTTGATTGGGTGGCTTTCTCTTATAGGGTGACTTGTCAAATATTTACCTAATTGACTCAGCGGTTAGAGTGTTGCTTTCATACGGCGAAATTCATTAGTTTATCTATATCTCAGGTTAAGAACGCTTGTACTAATGAGATCATAACAACATTTTAGTCAATTATATTTTTCACTTAAATTTTTTCGGAGTCGGATGAGATCAATATTATCCACTCAAAAATCTACTTTGGATATCCTATTGTCATTTGAATCTGAAGACTTAACACCACTACAACCAAGAGATATGGTGAGTTGGTCGAAATTTCTTCAAACTTAATTAAAGGTCTAGTATTTGAGCCTTAAAATAGAGAAGTTATTAGTAAGGAGCACTTTATTCCCCTTAGTTGATCTATCTGGCGCGGATCTGGATTAGTCAATGCCAGTAAGTCTCTATTGGAATTAAACAAAGATTATAATTAGTAATGTTTAATTTATTAGGTTTAGTATCTTTTAATTTTTTTAATTCATGTCTAATTGAGTTTCATAGTCCAGTCTTGCATTTAAAGCTCCATAAAATTTTATAAGTTTTTATGCCTCAAAGTGCTCTAGTAACGATTAAAAAAAATATTTTGCGAGCCAAAGAAGGCTACAAACTAGTACTGTAATAACCCGACTAGTTGTTTTAGTTTTAGCATCCCATTCGACGAATTGAGAATTTGACTAGCTACATATAATGCATTATGACTTCCGTGTATGATTGGTTTCGATGTTCGAGAGGTTCGGAATTGATTTGAAAGAGTGAATCTCAATTTTGAAGCTTTAAGTTGGAAGAGTTGACCAAGGTTTGACTTTTAAGTAAACGACCTCGGAATTAGGATTTGATGGTTTTGATAGGTTCATATGGTGATTCTATACTTTGGCGTATGTTCGGACTTCAATTTGGATATTCCTAGAAGGTTTTGACTCTATTTGCCGAAATTTTACAATTTGAAAGATTAGAGAGTTCATAGGTCTAACTGGGCGTTGACTTCGGTGTTGTCGGACTCCTATTATAGTTTTGAGACCTTGGATAGGTTCTTTATATTTATTAGAACTTGTGTGCAAAATTTGGTTGTAATCTAAAATGCCTAAGTGTGATTAGGACGAGTTCAGCAAAGTTTGAATGTTTGATAGTTAAGATAAGGATTGATCTTGGATTCTCTATTTTATTGTTATTTTTGGTGTTTCGAGCCTTGGTAAAAGTAGATAAGGTATTTGGACATGTTGGAATGATTGGATAAGGTTATGTGGCGCTCGGGTTTATTTCAAGATGGTTTCTGACCATTTCGTTTGAGTTTTGCGTTATTAATTTTTGGTGTCGCTTATGAGCTTCGCGATCACGGGAGGTGCATCATCTTGTAGATTAATTTTGGAGTTCTTAGAGAGCTAGGGTAAGGAGCATCACGTTCGCATACAGGGGGTCGCATTTGTGATGGTGTGGAGTCAGCCCAAAACCAGCCCGGTCATGATGGCGCCTAACATGAAACTAGGTGTGACGACCTGGCCGGTCATCTTAAGAATTTATGCCCCAATCCCCTATTAACTGCTTTCCCTATGTGTATTTCTGCTATTTCGATTGCCGGGATATTTGGGTTTGAGTTTCGGAGAGTTTTGGGACACTTAGTCCCTAAATGAGAGCTTAAGTGTTGGAAATTTCACCATAGTCAGAACAGCGTGAAGACTACCTCGGAATGGAAATATGATGGTTCTGTTAGCTCCATTGGGTGATTTCGGGCTTAGGGGCGTGATCGGATCATGTTTTGGAGGTTCGTAGCTAATTTAGGCTTGGAATGCTGAAAGTCAAGTTTTTGAAGTTTCTGGTTCGATAGTGAGATTTTGATCTGAGGGTCGCAATGGAATTTTGGAAGTTGAAGTAGTTTCGTAGTGTTGAATGTGACATGTGTGCAAGATTTCAGGTCATTCAGACGAGGTTTGATAGACTTTTTGATCGAAAGCGTATTTTTAGAGTTTTGGAGTTCTTGAATCCGTGGTTGATTCGTTGTTTCGATGTTGTTTTGGAGTTTTTGGAGTTCTTGAATCCGTGTTCTTGAAAGCGTATTAGACTTGTTTGTGCTTTTGGTTGAGGTCCCGGGGGCCTCGGGATGATTTCGGATGGTTGTCGGAAGAATTGGAAGTGGTTTGTAGTAGCTGAAGTTGCTGATATCTGTAATAACCGCACCTGCGTTTGGGTTCCGCAGGTACAGAGCTGCAGAAGCGGCAGAGAGATCGCAGAAGCGGAAAAGGAAGAAGCTAGCAGGGACCGCAGAAGCGGGAGCTTCACCACAGAAGCGGCCCTGCATCTGCGAATAGAGTTATTTCTTTCCTTAAAGCTCGGCGTATGGTTGAGAAGGGGTGTGATGCGTATTTAGCTTATGTGAGAGATGTCAGTATTGATACCCCTTCGGTTGATTCAGTCCCAGTAGTACGGGATTTTCCCGATGTGTTTCCAACTGATCTTCCGGGCATGCCGCCTGATAGAGATATTGATTTTGGCATTGATCTGTTGCTGAGCACTCAGCCCAATTCTATTCCTTCGTACCATATGGCTCCTCTTGAGTTGAAGGAGTTGAAGGATCAGTTACAAGAATTGCTTGATAAGGGTTTTATTTGGCCCAGTTTATCACCTTGGGGTGCTCCTGTCTTGTTTGTGAAGAAAAAGGATGGTTCTATGTGTATGTGTATTGATTATCGCCAGTTGAACAAGGTTATAGTGAATAATCGTTATCCTTTGCCTCGTATTGATGATCTGTTTGACCAGCTTCAGGGCGCACGAGTGTTTTCTAAGATTGACTTGTGCTCAGGTTACCATCAGTTGAAGATTCGGGAGCCAGATATCCCGAAGACTGCTTTCAGGACTCGGTATGGTCATTACGAGTTCCTTGTTATATCATTTGGGCTGACCAATGCCCCAGCAGCCTTTATGCATTTGATGCACAGTGTGTTCCAGCAGTATCTTGACTCGTTCATCATTGTCTTTATTGATGATATTCTGGTGTATTTCGGAGTCAGGAAGATCATGAGAAGCACCTGAGGACTGTGCTTCAGACTCTGAGAGAGAGGAAGTTATATGCTAAGTTCTCGAAATGTGAGTTTTGGTTGGATTTCGTGGCATTATTAGGCCATGTGGTATCGAGTGAGGGTATTTAGATGGATCTGAAGAAAGTAGAGGCCATGCAGAGTTGGCCCAGACCATCCTTAGCTATANAAGAAGTTATATGCTAAGTTCTCGAAATGTGAGTTTTGGTTGAATTCAGTGGCATTCTTAGGCCACGTGGTATTGAGTAAGGGTATTCAGGTGGATCCGAAGAAGATAAATGTTGTGCAGAGTTGGACCAGACCATCCTCAGCTATAGATATCTGCAGTTTCCTTGGCTTGGCGGGTTACTACCGTCGTTTTGTGGAGGGGTTTTCATCGATTACAGCCCCTATGACCAGGTTGACCCAGAAGGGTGCTCCGTTCTATTGGACGGAGGAGTGTGAGGCGAGCTTTCAGAAGCTCAAGACAGCTTTGATTATAGCCCCAATTTTGATAATGCCTACAGGTTTAGGGTCTTATACGGTCTATTATGATGCCTCGAAGATTGGCCTCGGAGCAGTGCTGATGTAGGACGGTAGGGTGATTGCCTACGCGTCCAGATAGTTGAAGATACACGAGAAGAATTATCTGGTTCACGACCTTGAGTTAGCTGCCATTGTTCACGTCCTGGAGATTTGGCACCATTATTTATACGGTATGCCTTGTGAGATTTATACTGATCATCGGAGCTTGCAGCAATTGTTCAAGCAAAAGGATCTTAATTTGCGCTAGAGGAGGTGGTTAGAGTTGCTGAAGGACTATGATATCCACCTTACTTTCCAGTTATATTTTAGTTGTTCCCTTAGACATTATATAAGACTATGTATTTTTACTTAGACGCCCATGCACTCAGTGATGCTCCGGTTTTGGGCTGGATTGTATCTATTCTTGGAATTTATTATGTTTCAAATGGTTCTTTAACTATTAAAAGCTTCCGTAAATGTTTTCAAACTTACTATTATCGTGTTGATTGTTGAGTTGAGGCTGGCCTAGTTATACGATAGGCACCATCACGACGGGTTAGGTTTTAGGGTCGTGACAAGTTGGTATTTCTACACACAAGATGCAGGGAGTAATGTGAGTAAGCCAACTCAGTAAGTAATAAAAGTAAATAAAGATTGAGCGGTAAGAAACACGTAAAACTACATCATGAAATCTCAATAAGTACAACATGCTTCCAATTCAGTATGTCAGTCCAATTCATCATGCACTCTGCCTCTAACCCTTCGCGAACATGAAGACCAATTCCTCCTCAATCTCCAAATACTCTTCGCGAACGCGAGCTCCCCTTCGCGAACAAAAATGCCAGAAAATCTGCTACCTTTCCAAAGTTCGAAATGACCCGTTAACCACCCGAAATTCACCCGAGGCCCTCGGGACCTCAACCAAACATGAAAACACATCCCATAACATCATTAAAACTTTTTCCAACCTTTGGAACACTCAAAACAACATCAAAACATCAATTCACCCTCAGATTCAAGCTTAAGGATT